TGAATGAATGCAATGAAATGAATGAATGAATGAATGAATGAATGAAATGAATGAATGAATGAATGAATGAATGAATGAATGAAATGAATGAATGAATGAATGAATGAATGAAATGAATGAATGAATGAAATGAATGAATGAATGAAATGAATGAAATGAATGAAATGAATGAAATGAATGAAATGAATGAAATGAATGAAATGAATGAATGAATGAATGAATGAATGGACTTGACTCGAATTGAATTGAAATGAAATGAAACGAAATGAAACGAAACGAAATGAAATGAAATGAAAGAATGAACGAATGAATAAATGAATGAATGAATGAATGAATGAATGAGTGAATGAATGAGTGAATGAATGAATGTATGAATGAATGAATGAATGAGTGAATGAGTGAGTGAATGAAATGAAATGAAATGAAATGAAATGAAATGAAAGAATGAATGAAATGAAATGAAATGAAATGAAATGAAAGAAATGAAGTGAATGACTTTAGGTGTGGTTCTTCTTTTTCTTTATGGTCTTTGGTGAGGTTCAACTGCAGTGCACTTAATTCAGATTGGGACTACTGACAGCCGTCTATGGGGTTGAATTGATCACCGAGGGCCTTGAGCAAGTGTGTGCGTGCGCACAAATTGTGGAACTTTGCATCTTTCGCCTGCGCAACGGTTGCGGCATTTGGCATGTGTCAGATTTCTCTCACCGCGGTGCCACAATGCTTGCGACATCGCTCGCGCAACTTTTGCGGCATTTGGTATTTGTAGGATCGCCCTTGCTGTGGCACTGTGATGATTTTGACATCGATCGCTCTCGTTGTGGTGCAGTTTGGATCTTGAATTTCCCCAGGTCTTCCTCAACGTCTTCTAGACAGATTCCGTGTTGAGCACAGATCCTGCACAGATATGTTGCAAAGAGATCTGGAAGAAATCTTGGACATGTATCTTATCAAGAGATCCTGTTAAGATCCTGTCAAGTGATCTTGCGCAGAGATCCTGCACAGGTCTTCCCAAAGAGATCTATGTTTTTTGCGCAGGACCTTCTTTAAACATGCTCAGAAGGTGGTCTTGTACAGGCCTTCTCTACAGATCCTGTCAGAGAACTTGTAGTGAATCCTCTCAGAGATCCTGTGCGTGCAACTGTCCAGAGATCCTATCGGATCGAGAGATCGTGTCCATATACAGTATCTCGTTCAGGAATACCGAGACATTTGCCAAATTTCTCGAAAGATCTTGCGCGAAAGCTTCCTACAAATCCATCAACAAAAGATCGAATTTTTAAAGGGTCCTGCCTGACGAGCATGTACAAAACTTCGGAAGAGATCCTACTCAGAGTTCTTGTCCTGATCTTCTGAAATCTGTTCAAGACTTTGTGCAGGAGCAAGTGGGTTTCCGCTGAAATTTCTTCCATGTTAATTACCTCCATGGATTCGTGTTTCACACTGTTTGGCGCTGCTTGCCAGGATAGTTTCTAGAGGCCCAGGCTTTCTGTTCAATGGAGATGACATGAACATGATGTCTCAACAGGGAAAGATGAGTAAGGCCATTTGTGGTTTCAATTTCGACTGGTTTTTCCGATTGAGACATACTCTGGAGCCAGAAAGCTGGCACAGGTGGACAGCTCAGACGCCATTATTGTCGGTGGGCACTCTTACAGCACTGTCCTCGACAGCCAAAGCAACGCCGGTGGCAGCGACGTCATGGTGATGAAGTTTTCGTCCGCCGGCGCTCACCAATGGACTGTCCTTCATGGCGGTTCAAACGGTGATCATGCTTACGACCTTGAGGCGGAGAGGGCAAGCACAGAAGTTAAATTTTAGGTCTGGGTGCCTCCAGGATGTTAAGTTGCTTCACAGAACGCCCGATGGACATGTGACATACGACAATTAAAACATTTGAAGTCACAACAAACTCTAGAGGGGTAGGTATACCACCAACCAATATTGATGTGTTGTGTTAACTCTAATATCTTTTCATATTATCATATTTTGCGGTACGGACTAAGGTATGTTATCATTTATCATATTTTGTTCTATGTAGATGGCAAGGTTCAATGTACCATATGCCGCATTTGCCATTTGGTTTTGTCCACAATTCTTTGACTAACCATTTTTGCATTGAAACTGCGATTGGCACTGCAACATGCAAACAGCATGGACCCCTGCAGATGGATGACACGCACAACATCGTGCGCCGCGACTTTTTCATGGCTCAAGAAATAGGAGCTGCCGTCATTGGGCTGGTGTGTGGGAACTCGAAGGGTTGCTCGATCACTGGAAACCCATAACCGGGGCCCCGGTTCGTAACCGCAGGTTATGAGCCCAAAAGAGGTTCTGAAGCCATGTCCGTGATGCAACGCCGGCGTGCGGCTGATGGGAATGGTTCAGGAGAAATGGCCAATGCAAGGACGGCCGATGAAATGCTGGAAGACCTGATGGAGGATCTCAACAATGCCTCATCAGGAACAGCCGCAGTGAGGTCAGTACGGGTGGTGGGAAACAGGGATCAAGCCCAACCTGAGGGTGGAACCCAAGAGGTGGTCGGTGCTGGGGCCGCAGAAGCTCAACCGCATGGCCATCAAGGGGGAGCCCAAGGTGTGATGGAAGGCTTGTCGCCTGACCAGCAGGCCGTGCTTCGACAAGCTGCTGAAGTTCTTCGGACTGGGGTGCAGCTGCAGTGGCAGGCTGCTCCGCCGGCTGCTCTGGTGGATGCAGGAAGGCGACCTGAACATCTTCGAGGGGGCCAACAACAAGCTGAACGAGCTGGAGGCATGGATCCAGGTGAAGGCCAACGAGGCGATCAAAGAGCTCAAGGGGTTGGTGACGGAGGTCTTTTGGATCCTCTTGCACTTCCTGCCGGCGGCTTGGAGCCATTGGTGCGCTTCGACCTGAAGGTCTACCCCCTGCTCCACAAGGTGATCCTGTGGTTTTGGGTCCTGCTGGGCCGCATGCAAGTGAACAACAAGGGCATCCTTCTGCACTGGTGCAACATGCTGGACATCAACCTGGTTCTGGTCAACTTCTTCGGCATCCTTCTGATCCTCATGGGGTACAAGCCGTGATGAGGACACCAGATGGTGTTGTGGGCCAACGGAATCCGTTTTGGAGCGACCGGGCTATGGCTGGAGGTGACCAACATGCTGCCAGTGGACCACATGGAGGTGGCGCCCAAACTCTATCATCAGGACGGGTGAAAACAGCTGATGGTTTAACCCACAAAGACTTGCTCTAAGGATTCAGGGTTTTAAAGAAGTTGAAGCCCAAATTCAAAGGGAAATGGAAAAACGTAAAGGGGAAAATAGCGGTAGTGGCTCATTCCAAAGTGTTTTGGGGGAAGTAGGTGTAGTTCAGGGTTCAAAAACCCCTGTGGATCCGGCTCTTGGCCAACTGGTGACTCCTCCGGGTCTTCCTGGCCTTCCTGGTCCAGCTGTGCCTGCTGCTGCTGCGCCGGCGCCTGTGGTGAGCGTTGGCGAGAACCTCAACGAGAACCCGAGGAACTTGGAGCTGCCTAAGCTGTCCCCTGACAGCACTTCGGTGGACTTTGGCGACTGGCTGGCCATTGTGGGTCCGTTGATGTCGGATCTGAGTGGCACGAGCAGTCAGTGGTGGGCTTTGGTGTTGGACGCTGCGGCCAAGACCTATGCAGCGTGGGTGACATCAACGCCGCTCCAAAGGTTGCGCCTGAAGGTGGTGTCTCCTGCTGAATCGGCGAAATGGCCAAGGACTGAGTAGAGGGCGGTGACTATGTTGTTGGCTGCTGTCCCGGACGCGATTCAGCGTGAACTGATTTCGTCCAGGAAGCTGCAAAGCGTGGAGATCCTCTATGCCCTTCTGTGTCGTTTTCAACCAGGTGGAGTTCATGAAAAACCGAGCTTGCTGAAGGACCTCACGGAGAACCGACTGGGTGCCAATGCGAACATCCACGGGCTCTTGCAGACCTTGCGGGTGTGGCGACGGAAGATCAGCTGAGCTGGGCATTCAACTTCCGGATCCACTCATCTTGGTGGGAATTCTTGGACGGTGGTCTGACCATCTTGGACGCCTTGGAGGACCTCAAACGGTTTACCGAATGTCGTCGCTTCGGCAAGACTTGCAGTTGGACTTCATCCCAACGAATGTCAAGGTTGCTGACTTTGCGGAGGCGCTATACAGGCCGAAGCTGAGCAGTTGTCACTGATGAGCGCTTCACCGACTTCTACCACGACGGCATCACTTCAGGACACCAAGAAGAAGGAGCAGATCAAAGCTGCTGCCCTACTGTCTGAAGGGTCTCCTACTTCCAACGATGATGGGAAGGGGAAATTAATGTGTCGTTTGTGGGGGAGCAGGGCTGGTTGTCGCAGAGGTGAATCTTGTGCTTTTGAGCACTCTTGGGACGGCATCCAACGAAAAGGTCGATGCTGGAATTGTTCTGGTGAAGGGCACATGAAGCCTGAATGTCCTCACCTCAAACAGAAAGAATATGGTCAACGTGAATCGTCTGGGTCTCCCACAAAGATCTCCAAGGTGAAGGATCAGAAAGGTGGCAGTCCCAAGAACACAGGCCATGGAAAAGGTGCATCAAAGGGAGCTACGACGTCTTCACCAACGACGCCTTTGCCGAGCTCTTCACATGGATCTACGGCGACTTCATCGTCTTCGCATGGTGCTTCTAAGGAGAAGTCCAAGGTGGTGATTGAGGAGTTCCTGCTACTCTGCTGTCTGACCTGAGTGGGCTTGTGAAGTCTTTGCAGAGCCTGAAGGCAGTTCACCTGAGGTACATCGAGTCCAAGGCCAATGGTGTTTTCAATGGAGGTGACCAAAAACTGGCGTTGCTTGATGGAGGAGCCACTCATGGGCTACGTCGAGGACTGCCTCACGAACTTGAAGGTGCTGAAATGGTGACAGTGGAGCTTGCCCATATGGGAGTACGTCCCTGTTCAGGAAAGGTGGATGTAGCACGTTGTTGGCGAAGGAGGAGGTTGAATCATCCCCGTCCGTCAGCTGATCGAGGCCGGCTATACCAGCTCAAGTGGAGTTCCTCTGAAGTTTCCATTTGGCATCCCACAAAAGGATCCATCAAATGCTGGCGACGCCAAGGCTGCCCAGTCATGGATCGAGATTATGGTCTATAGCTCTTTTACAAATGTTGGAGGACGATGAAGCGGCGACCCAAATTGGTCAAGAAGTTCGAACCTGGTGGAAAGAACGATGCCCACAGGTTCCTGACGCTGTCATCGGCTTCATGGAGGGCCAGTTCACAGACTGGAAAAAATGTCCTCAAGGACTACCTTGGAACCGCCGGAGACGCAGGCAGCTGGAATCGGCCAAAGCCATTGTCTTGCACCTCTTCTCTGGGGACAAGGAGTCGAGCAGAAAGTGGTTGGAGTTGCAGAAGCTGGGCTATGGGGTGATCACCTTGGATGTGGCTGCAAACAGCCAGCCATCTGGGGCTATCTGATGATGTTGGCTCGCCAGGGCTTACTGAGGGTCCTGCTGGGTGGGCCGCCATGCAGAACGTTTTCAAGACTTCGGCACAAGTCACCAGGCCCGCGACCGGTGAGAGGAAGAGCTGAGAAAAGGTGGGCTCTCCCTGACTTGGGGTCGTTGGAGGCCGAAAGGGTTCATGGAGACACGGCACTGGTCCTGAAGATGTTGGCCCTCTATGAGGAGATGGAGACAAGCCAGCCAGATGCCAACCAGTTTCTCCTTGAGCACCCTGAGGACCCATGCGCGTACCTTGGAGAACAGGAGTCCAGGGAAATGCCAAGCGTGTGGGAGTGGCCAGAACTTATAAGGCCTTTGCAGAGAAGTTCAACATGAAAACGGTCTCTTTTGACCAAGGTAAATGTGGGCACAGCCGACGAAAACCAACCAGCCTCCTGACGAATTTGCCAGGGATGGATGAACTACAGGGGTTGCGCTGTGGGGAGAACGAGAAGGGCATCGAGCCACTTGCTGCGGATCTTCCACAACGTCTCAAACAGACCTCTTCCTGGTCGTCATGGGCTCCGGGTTTGACACAGGCTATCAAGGAGTCAATCAAACAGATGCCTGGGGCTGGCCTCAAACGCTTGTCTTTGGATGAGTGGCGACAGCATGTGAGGCAGAACCATACGCCTTACCGCCGTGATTGTCGTCTCTGCATACAAGAAATGGGTGCTGGGGAACCACATCGACGTCGAGGTCCTCACCACAATGGTGAATCACAGCCTATGTGTTGTCAGTTGACATCACTGGCCCACTCGTGAAGGGATGGGACTATGGAACTGGCCGTGAAGCCAAATATGCGCTGCTTGCCATGGTGCCGATTCCTCTCATGGATGGTCAACTACATGCTGAAGGTGATCAATCTCCTTGTGATGTTCTTCCAGGTCCTGAAGTTCAACGTTCAGAAGAAGTTCAACATGCTGGTCAAGTTCCACGTTCTGGTGGAGATGACAGCCCCAAAGAATGTCTTCCAGGTTAAGGTGCTCATGGTGAAAAAGTTCATGCAGGCCCTGTTGAACCTGTTCCGTCAAAAGGTGATGGATGTGATGATGAAAAAGATGGTGGAAAACTTGGTGATGCTCTTCCAGCTGACCCTCTTGCTCGGCTACCAGAATTGGGGGGAGAAGTCAGAAACCCTGAGCTACCTGAAGGAGAAGATGGGAGATTCAGTGAAGATCAGAAAAAACTTGGGGAGAAGCTGAACAAATTATAGGACCGGATAACCCCACATGTTACCAACTTCTCTAGAGTTAGACTGAGCATAGAAAAGCAAGAAGGGAAGAGGCAGTATAAGAGTGATGGAGGGGTGATGGTGGGTGAGTTTTTGTGTATGTGTGTATGTATGCGCAAGGTGAGTGAGTGAATGAGTGAGTGAGTGAGTGAGTGAGTGAGTGAAGGTGAGTGAGTGAAGGTGAGTGAGTGAAGGTGAGTGAGTGAAGGTGAGTGAGTGAAGGTGAGTGAGTGAAGGTGAGTGAGTGAGTGAGTGAGTGAGTGAGTGAGTGAAGGTGAGTGAGTGAAGGTGAGTGAGTGAGTGAGTGAGTGAAGGTGAGTGAGTGAAGGTGAGTGAGTGAAGGTGAGTGAGTGAAGGTGAGTGAGTGAAGGTGAGTGAGTGAAGGTGAAGGTGAGTGAAGGTGAAGGTGAGTGAAGGTGAAGGTGAGTGAAGGTGAAGGTGAGTGAGTGAAGGTGAAGGTGAGTGAGTGAGTGAAGGTGAGTGAGTGAAGGTGAGTGAGTGAAGGTGAAGGTGAGTGAGTGAAGGTGAGTGAGTGAAGGTGAGTGAGTGAAGGTGAGTGCGATCGGTGGAAGGCTGAAGGGGGATGGTGAGTGAAGGTGAGTGAGTGAAGGTGAGGGTGAGTGAAGGTGAAGGTGAGTGAGTGAAGGTGAGTGAGTGAAGGTGAGTGAGTGAAGGTGAGGTTGAGTGAAGGTGAGGTTAGTGAAGGTGAGTGGGTGAAGGTGAGTGGGTGAAGGTGAGTGAGTGAAGGTGAGTGAGTGAAGGTGAGTGAGTGAAAGGGAGTGAGTGAAGGTGAGTGAGTGAAGGTGAGTGAGTGAAGGTGAGGGAGTGAAGGTGAGTGAGTGAAGGTGAGTGAGTGAAGGTGAGTGAGTGAAGGTGAGTGAGTGAAGGTGAGTGAGGGAAGGTGAGTGAGGGAAGGTGAGTGAGGGAAGGTGAGTGAGGGAAGGTGAGTGAGTGAGTGAGTGAGTGAATGAGTCAAGGTGAGTGAGTGAAGGTGAGTGAGTGAAGCTGAGTGAGTGAAGGTGAGTGAGTGAGTGAGTGTGATTGATTGAGTGAGTGAGTGAGATTGAGTGAGATTGAGTGAGTGAGTGAGTGAGTGAGTCATGAGTGAGTGAGTGAGTGAGTGAGTGAGTGAAGGTGAGTGAGTGAAGGTGAGTGAGTGAAGGTGAGTGAGTGAAGGTGAGTGAGCGAAGGTGAGTGAGTGAGTGTGAGTGAGCGAAGGTGAGTGAGCGAAGGTGAGTGAGTGAAGGTGAGTGAGTGAAGGTGAGTGAGTGAAGGTGAGTGAGTGAAGGTGAGTGAGTGAAGGCGAGTGAGTGAAGGCGAGTGAGTGAAGGTGAGTGAGTGAAGGTGAGTGAGTGAAGGTGAGTGAGTGAAGGTGAGTGAGTGAAGGTGAGTGAGTGAAGGTGAGTGAGTGAAGGTGAAGGTGAGTGAAGGTGAAGGTGAGTGAAGGTGAAGGTGAGTGAAGGTGAAGGTGAGTGAGTGAAGGTGAAGGTGAGTGAGTGAGTGAAGGTGAGTGAGTGAAGGTGAGTGAGTGAAGGTGAAGGTGAGTGAGTGAAGGTGAGTGAGTGAAGGTGAGTGAGTGAAGGTGAGGTTGAGTGAAGGTGAGGTTGAGTGAAGGTGAGGTTGAGTGAAGGTGAGGTGACGTGAAGGTGAGTGATTTGAAGGTGAGTGAGGTTGAAGGTGAGTGAGGGAGGGTGAGTGAGTGAAGGCGACTGGATTTTTTTTTTTGAAGGTGAGTGAGTGAAGGTGAGTGAGTGAAGGTGAGTGAGTGAAGGTGAGTGAGTGAAGGTGAGTGAGTGAAGGTGAGTGAGTGAAGGTGAGTGAGTGAAGGTGAGTGAGTGAGTGAGTGAGTGAAGGTGAGTGAGTGAAGGTGAGTGAGTGAAGGTGAGTGAGTGAAGGTGAGTGAGTGAAGGTGAGTGAGTGAGTGAGTGAGTGCGTGAGTGAAGGTGAGTGAGTGAAGGTGAGTGAGTGAAGGTGAGTGAGTGAAGGTGAGTGAGTGAAGGTGAGTGAGTGAAGGTGAGTGAGTGAGTGAGTGGAGTGAGTGGAGTGAGTGAGTGGAGTGAGTGAGTGAGTGAGTGGAGTGATGGAGTGAGGGAGTGAGTGAGTGAGTGAGTGAGTGAGTGAGTGAGTGAGTGAGTGAGTGAGTGAGTGAGTGAGTGAGTGAGTGAGTGAGTGAGTGAGTGAGTGAAGGTGGTTGAGTGAGTGAGTGTGATTGAGTGAGTGAGTGTGATTGAGTGAGTGAGTGAGTGAGTGAGTGAAGGTGAGTGAGTGACTGTGATTGAGTGACTGTGATTGAGTGACTGTGATTGAGCGACTGTGATTGAGTGACTGTGATTGAGTGAGTGTGATTGAGTGAGTGTGATTGAGTGAGTGTGATTGAGTGAGTGTGATTGAGTGAGTGTGAGAGTGAGAGTGAGAGTGAGAGAGTGAGAGAGTGAGAGAGTGAGAGAGTGAGAGAGTGAGAGAGTGAGAGAGTGAGAGAGTGAGAGAGTGAGAGAGAGTGAGAGAGTGAGTTAGTGAGTGAGAGAGTGAGTTAGTGAGTGAGTGAGTGAGTGGGTGAGTGAGTGAGTGAGTGAGGCGGAGCCCGAGGGACGCCAGGGCGTACATCCGACCCCTTGGCAGTGCACATTGTCCCACACTTGCCACGCAAAATTTGTACATTGTCCCACGCCTGCAACGCAAAAGAGGCGGAGCCCGAGGGACGCCAGGGCGTGCATCCGACCCCTTGGCAGTGCACATTGTCCCACGCCTGCCACGCAAAAGAGGCGGAGCCCGAGGGACGCCAGGGCGTACATCCGACCCCTTGGCAGTGCACATTGTCCCACGCCTGCCGCGCAAAAGAGGTGGAGCCCGATGGACGCCAGGGCATACCCCTCGTGTTTTCGTAACGAGTGCCCCTTTCCCAAGTCCTCTTCACAGCTCACGAGCAATTCTTCACTTGAATATTGTGCAGGCCAAATCATCACATCTTTCACTGGCTCCTTCGAGGGTCTGGTCAGTCTGATCCACTGGGTTAAATCTTCAAACTCTGGTGGATCTAGTGGATTCTAGGTTCTTTCAGCGAATTGTTGAAGGAAGAGAACTCTAGTTCAGCTTGACGAGCAAGTTATTCAACAAGACAATATCTAGCAAGCGGTAGTCCAGCATTCTTCAAACGGTTTTCTGTGACTCCCTGCCCTTGGCAACAGACATCATTCCAAGGTTGCCCAGGATGTTGAAAAAATCACCCACAACTGGCACTGAAAACCTTGAAGGCTCAACATCCGAATAGTCAGAATCTCTTGGCAGTGCACATTGTCCCACGCATGCCACGCAAAAGAGGCGGAGCCCGAGGGATGCCAGGGCGTACATCCGACCCCTTGGCAGTGCACATTGTCCCACGCCTGCCACGCAAAAGAGGCGGAGCCCGATGGACGCCAGGGCATACCCCTCGTGTTTTCGTAACGAGTGCCCCTTTCCCAAGTCCTCTTCACAGCTCACGAGCAATTCTTCACTTGAATATTGTGCAGGCCAAATCATCACATCTTTCACTGGCTCCTTCGAGGGTCTGGTCAGTCTGATCCACTGGGTTAAATCTTCAAACTCTGGTGGATCTAGTGGATTCTAGGTTCTTTCAGCGAATTGTTGAAGGAAGAGAACTCTAGTTCAGCTTGACGAGCAAGTTATTCAACAAGACAATATCTAGCAAGCGGTAGTCCAGCATTCTTCAAACGGTTTTCTGTGACTCCCTGCCCTTGGCAACAGACATCATTCCAAGGTTGCCCAGGATGTTGAAAAAATCACCCACAACTGGCACTGAAAACCTTGAAGGCTCAACATCCGAATAGTCAGAATCTCTTGGCAGTGCACATTGTCCCACGCCTGCCACGCAAAAGAGGCGGAGCCCGAGGGATGCCAGGGCGTACATCCGACCCCTTGGCAGTGCACATTGTCCCACTCCTGCCACGCAAAAGAGGCGGAGCCCGAGGGACGCCAGGGCGTACATCCGACCCCTTGGCAGTGCACATTGTCCCACGCCTGCCACGCAAAAGAGGCGGAGCCCGAGGGACGCCAGGTCGTACATCCGACCCCTTGGCAGTGCACATTGTCCCACGCCTGCCACGCAAAAGAGGCGGAGCCCAGGGCGTATATCCAACCCCTTGGCAGTGCACATTGTCCCACGCCTGCCACGCAAAAGAGGCGGAGCCCGAGGGACGCCAGGGCATACATCCGACCCCTTGGCAGTGCACATTGTCCCACGCCTGCCACGCAAAAGAGGCGGAGCCCGAGGGACGCCAGGGCGTACATCCGACCCCTTGGCAGTGCACATTGTCCCACGCCTGCCACGCAAAAGAGGCGGAGCCCGGGGGACGCCAGGGCGTACATCCGACCCCTTGGCAGTGCACATTGTCCCACGCCTGCAACGCAAAAGAGGCGGAGCCCGAGGGACGCCAGGGCGTGCATCCGACCCCTTGGCAGTGCACATTGTCCCACGCCTGCCACGCAAAAGAGGCGGAGCCCGAGGGACGCCAGGGCGTACATCCGACCCCTTGGCAGTGCACATTGTCCCACGCCTGCCGCGCAAAAGAGGTGGAGCCCGATGGACGCCAGGGCATACCCCTCGTGTTTTCGTAACGAGTGCCCCTTTCCCAAGTCCTCTTCACAGCTCACGAGCAATTCTTCACTTGAATATTGTGCAGGCCAAATCATCACATCTTTCACTAGCTCCTTCGAGGGTCTGGTCAGTCTGATCCACTGGGTTAAATCTTCAAACTCTGGTGGATCTAGTGGATTCTAGGTTCTTTCAGCGAATTGTTGAAGGAAGAGAACTCTAGTTCAGCTTGACGAGCAAGTTATTCAACAAGACAATATCTAGCAAGCGGTAGTCCAGCATTCTTCAAACGGTTTTCTGTGACTCCCTGCCCTTGGCAACAGACATCATTCCAAGGTTGCCCAGGATGTTGAAAAAATCACCCACAACTGGCACTGAAAACCTTGAAGGCTCAACATCCGAATAGTCAGAATCTCTTGGCAGTGCACATTGTCCCACGCCTGCCACGCAAAAGAGGCGGAGCCCGAGGGATGCCAGGGCGTACATCCGACCCCTTGGCAGTGCACATTGTCCCACTCCTGCCACGCAAAAGAGGCGGAGCCCGAGGGACGCCAGGGCGTACATCCGACCCCTTGGCAGTGCACATTGTCCCACGCCTGCCACGCAAAAGAGGCGGAGCCCGAGGGACGCCAGGTCGTACATCCGACCCCTTGGCAGTGCACATTGTCCCACGCCTGCCACGCAAAAGAGGCGGAGCCCAGGGCGTATATCCAACCCCTTGGCAGTGCACATTGTCCCACGCCTGCCACGCAAAAGAGGCGGAGCCCGAGGGACGCCAGGGCATACATCCGACCCCTTGGCAGTGCACATTGTCCCACGCCTGCCACGCAAAAGAGGCGGAGCCCGAGGGACGCCAGGGCGTACATCCGACCCCTTGGCAGTGCACATTGTCCCACGCCTGCCACGCAAAAGAGGCGGAGCCCGGGGGACGCCAGGGCGTACATCCGACCCCTTGGCAGTGCACATTGTCCCACGCCTGCCACGCAAAAGAGGTGGAGCCCGAGGGACGCCAGGGCGTACATCCGACCCCTTGGCAGTGCACATTGTCCCACACCTGCCGCGCAAAAGAGGCGGAGCCCGAGGGACGCCAGGGCGTACATCCGACCCCTTGGCAGTGCACATTGTCCCACGCTTGCCACGCAAAAGAGGCGGAGCCCGAGGGACGCCAGGGCGTACATCCGACCCCTTGGCAGTGCACATTGTCCCACGCCTGCCACGCAAAATGGAGTGAGTGAATGAGTGAGTGATGTGAGTTTGTGAGTGAGTGAGTGAGTGAGTGAGTGAAGGTGGTTGAGTGAGTGAGTGTGATTGAGTGAGTGAGTGTGATTGAGTGAGTGAGTGAGTGATGTGAGTGAGTGAGTGAGTGAGTGAGTGAGTGAGTGAGTGAGTGAGATTGAGTGAATGAGTGAGTGAGTGAGTGAGTGAGTGACTGAGTGAGTGAGTGAGTGAGTGAGTGACCGAGCGAGCGAGCGAGCGAGCGAGCGTGTGAGGGAGGGAGGGAGGGAGGGAGGGAGTGAGTGAGTGAGTGAGTGAGGTGAGGTGAGGTGAGGTGAGGTGAGGTGAGGTGAGTGAGTGAGGTGAGTGAGGTGAGTGAGGTGAGTGAGGTGAGTGAGTGAGTGAGCGAGCGAGTGAGTGAGTCAGTGAGTGAGTCAGTGAGTGAGTGAGTGAGCGAGCGAGTGAGTGAGGTGGGTGAGTGAAGAGGAGGACGGGAGGCGGAGGCGGGAGGCGGAGGAAGGCGGATACAGAACTAAAAACAAAAACCCCACACGTCAATGTGGGGAAAAATGGAGAGAGCAAATGGAAGAAGCCACCGCTCCCTTGAACCTTTGGGCAGCCGCTCTACAAGCGAGTTGCTACCTGCTTTGGACAAGAGTTTGGGTGCGCTTTCGTGCATTGGGCATCCCAATGGTCAGAATGGATTGTGACCGCGCCAAGGAAATGTTGGCGAAATTTGTGCGAGGATGGGCAGGACGTCGAGGTTTGTAGCAGACCTTCACGTCAGGCGACGGCGCCCCTGCCAAAGGCTACGACTGACACTTCAGTCTATAGCCGCCAAGCTGGAGGAATGGCCCTCAGTGGCACGACACTCTTCTGAGGAGCGGGCAGTCGGCTATGCTTCGGGTGTTGGTCAAAACGTATAGCTGTGGCACAAGCGCTTCACCCAGGGCATGGCGAGTCCTTATTTCCAGGCCACTTTGAAGGGACCAAGTCCTCTGATGCACCATGGAGATGTGTGGTCCAAACTGACAAGGGCCTCATCCAACATGCCAGGTCTGTTGTGACCACTGACCTAAGTGCCGAGCGTGCGATGCTGGAACTTGTTGGTGACCCAATGCGGCCAGTTCACCGTATGGTTGGAAAACAGCCTGCTGCTGGTGACAAGGTCGAGCCTCCACAATTGATGGATGAAACCAAATGGCCCTGACTCCGAGTCAGCGGAAGGGAGGTTAGGTCTTGAAGGTCAGGTTCCAGGCTCCGTGCCTGCGGAAGGGGGTGATGGTGAAGGATCACAATATGAGCCTAGCATCTATGAAGGTGATGATGATGGAGAGCGCATGGAAGAGGTGGAGTACCCTGACATGAATGACATTTGGGGGGAGGCCCATGGTCCGGGGGAGCCCTCTGCTCTTCGAGCTCTTCATGGTGATGATGGTGAACCTATGGTGGTTCCGACCAACTTGGTCGGGTGGGAGTCCAGGTGCTTTTCAACCGCACAAACAACACAAGCTGCTGATGCTGGGGCGACACCACGGTTTGGAAATCCTGATGGTGGAACCTTGGGATCTATGTCGTCTTCAAGTTCAACATTGCGGGTGAGCACATCAAGGTCTACTCGTTCAACCTTCAGTGCAACTTCAACTTTGGGTCCAAGCTCAACCTTGCCAAGTATGACAAGTTCATCAAGTATGACGTCCAATGGCGGTGCAATCGAACGCTGGCCTCTTGGTGATTCCGTTGATGACTATGAGAAGATGCTCCAACGAGAACATCAGGGATGGACTGCAGCGTTTCGAGAGGAGTCGCAACGCCTCCCAATGGATGGTGATGGAGGTGGTCGCCAAGGTCAACTGATGAAGAACCTCAAGGTTCATGTCTATGTCTTGGAGGAGGAGTTGGATGTAGTGAACAAAATGGTCGTTGAATGTGAGGAGCGAAAGTGTCTGCTGGCTGCGCTCAACCTTAACGATGTGGGAGACGCCGAGAGCGATCAGTTTGAGATGCCCGTGGAGCCACAGGTCCTCCAGACCCAAACTGTGCCTCTGAATGAAGTTATGGCCAACCTTCCAGAATGGGTTGATGCACTTCGAGCTGAATACACGAGCTTGACCGAGGGCTTAATGCCATCAAGCCTGTCCACAAAGACACGCTCCGACACCGAACTGATGTAGAGTATGCACCGGGCAAGTTGGTTGCAACTTTGAAACCGGGAAACAAGAAGAAGGCGAGGCTTGTCGTCTGCGGCAACAGGGTGGAGGTCTCGGCTGACAATCAGGTCGACCAGGACGGCTCCTCTGAGTATGCCAACAAGGGCCGCAAGACCTACGACACCTATGCTGGAGGTATTGACGGTGTATGTGTGCGAGCAGTGCTGAGGAAAGCTGGGGAGCGCCGGTGGAACTGTGCATCCATCGATGTGCGCACGGCCTTTCTGCTTGCCCCGCACCGTGGAACTGGAACACTGGTGGTCAAACCGCCAAAGGTGCTTACAGCTTGCGGGTTGATCCCAGCAACAGAGATGTGGGAAGTCAACAAAGCGTTGTATGGACTTCAGTCATCACCGCAAGATTGGGTTGTGTTTCGAGATGGCGATCTGAAGACTTGGTCTTGGTCTGAAGGAGGCAGAACCTTTGCCCTCAAAGCTACCAAGGAGGCCAATCTATGGCGCATCGTCGAGCGAAGAGTCTGGTGATGGGGAGGTTAAAGAGCCTCAAACGGTGGGACATATGGTGGTCTATGTCGATGACTTGCTGATCACTGGATCCACTGAAGTTGTCGATGCCACGCTCAAGAAGGTGCAGGCACGTTGGAAGTGTAGCGACCCTGAGTGGATGGCACCCGAAGGTCAAAAACCTATGACCTTTTGTGGCTTCGAAATCAAGAAAGGTCCTGATGGTGAAGTTGTGGTCACTCAGAAGTCCTATGCGGAGGAGCTGACCAGGCGACATGGCATCAAAAAGACAAGGCCGACGCCAATGTCGAGCTCTTTGGTGATTCCTGAGGAGCCGGAAGACGTCACTCGTGAACAGCTTCGAGAAGCACAGGCTGTGACTGGTGAGCTGCTTTGGCTTTCGATACGGCCCAGACCTGATTTGAGCTATGTGACAGGGCTTATGGGTCGGATGCCAACAAAGAATCCTGCCTTTGTCTGTCAAGTCGGCCAAGAAGCCATGGAATACATCTATGGAACTCTGGATGTGGGTTTGGTCTATGGACCTCTGGTTCCGAATTTTGGGCCAGAGGATTGCCTTCCTTTTGCAAGGAGTATGACCAGGGTCGAGGTCTATGCTGACGTCTCCTTTGCTCCGCAGTCTTCCAAGAGTGTCCAAGGTGTGATCGGGCTGTATGGGGGTGCTCCAATACAGTGGCTGTCGAACCGACAGGGGTGTCTGACTTTGTCAACGGCAGAATCAGAGCTTCTCAGCTACATCGAGGAGATGTCAGTTGCCGACGCCATTGGCTGCATCATTTCCATCTTGGAGGAGGTCCCGATCGAGTTTGACAAGAATGATGGGGATGAAGGTGAAGATGAAGGGGTCACTTCGCAGGTGGAGGTGGAGATCAACTTCAACGAGTGATCTATGGGGATAACCAGGCCGCAGTGTCTGTGTTGAGCTCTCGGGATGGACCTTGGCGTACGCGCCATCTGCGGTTGCGCAGTCATGTCTTCCGCCAGAGGCTTCAGCACAAGCTACGCTGGGCTGTGCGGCATCTTCCTGGAGCTCTGTTGAGTGCTGATCACCAAGGCGGTGAATTTTCGGGCGAGGTGGAAGATCTTCTTTGACTTCATGCAAATGGTGTGCAGCACAACTACTGCTCCGGTGGTCGACGAGGGCACCAAGCATGTCAAGGCGCTGGTCTTGAAAAACGAGTTGACCAAAATAGCCGCTGCAGGGTTAGGGGCTGTAGCTCTTGCCACTTTTACCCCAATTCCTGGTTCTGATGATGAAATCCAAAAAGGGGAATTGATGTCGGGGTTCAGGGAAAAATAGATGGGTTGGTAAGAGGGGGTAAGATAGAAGGGTTTGAAAACCAGGGTTCAAACAACCAAAACACCCAGGGTTCTCAAAACGCTGCTCCCGAAGCCATGGATGTTTTTTCAAGGGAAGAGGGCGACGACCGCTCTTGGGACAGTGGCGAACTTGTCGCGACTGCCATGGGTCTTCTGAGGGACCTGCCTGCAGAATGCCACGAAGGTGAAAGATGGTATGAAGAGGTGCCACAATTGCGGGCAGTGCTGGCCGAAGATGACGGTCTTTGGGAATGCCATGACGGTCGGGCTCCGCAACCATGTGATGGTGAATGGTGACGATCGGGCTCCGCAACCATGTGATAAGTATGTGGTGACGGTCGGGCTCCGCTGCCATTGCATGGGATGGCCTAACGGGGCTCCGCTACCTGAGGGTGATTGTCCTGACGGTCGGGCTTCGCAACTACAACCTGGAGAATGTGGAGGCGCTCGGGCTGGAGCACTATGTGGTGAACTTCCAGGCGACAGTCTTCAAGATGATGTGGAGTCCACGTCGCTGCCAACAAGGGTGACGATGGATGATCCTCAACACGGGCCGGGCCGTGGCAAGGGGATGGGGAAACCAACTCCTCGGCCGCCGCCACCGCCGCCACCACCGCCGCCGCCGCCAAGGGCCGGTGGGGAAGGGATGTTCCGACCTTTTTCAGCTCAAGGAATACCTGGTGGAGCAGTTCTATCGACTTGTCGGGGTGGAGCTCACTGTGGGAGGAGTGCCAATGGTGGGATACCGTCAAGGGATCCCTGGTGTGGACTACTCCATCGAGCTCACCATCCGGAATCCCGATCAACCAGCTCCGCGTCTTGCTGCTGAACCACCAATAGTAGGAAAAATGGGCACTACAGCGAGTGGGTCGTCTTCGGCAAGTGGTGGGGCTTCAAGTGCAAGTTCAAGGGCCCCTACAACGGAAAATCCTGGGGCTGCAAGCGCAAGTTCAAGGCCTCATGCAGCTGAACACCAGGCCACTGCGGCCAGTGCATCAAGTGCTTCTACAACGGAAAATCAGGCCAATGCGGCCGGTGCATCAAGTGCACATCCAGCCTACCCCAGACTGGGGGTTGTGGCTGAAATTAAGGGTAATGCCTGACGGGAGGAGGGTCATCTACAGAGACCCCAGGGAGACATACTACGAGAACGTCCCACCTCCAACGTCAAGTGCGACTGGATCTGCGCCCAATGATCCGCCGACTGCCGACTCACCGGGTCCTGGTGAACCAGAGCCAGAGGCTGAGGACCTCACGGTGGAGGAGACGTCGTCTGATGTCGAAGTGGTGAGTCCGAAGGTGATGAGAAAGATGGAAGTCATGGTGCCGCACTACCTGCTGAACTTTACCACCAAGATCGGGCTCAGCATGTATGTGATGGAGGGCTTCAAGTTTCAAGAGAATGTCATGGCGGTCGGGCTTTGCAACCACCCGCTGGAGAAGATCATGGTGTCTGCGTATGTCTGTACGCTCGGGCTTGGCATCTTCATGATTGTGAATGTCAGGGCTCTGGTGTATGTCTTGACACTTGGCCTGAGCATCTTCAAGGATGTGTATGTCTTGGCGCCGAATGTCCTGACACTCGGGCTTCGCAACTATGTGATCCAGTATGTGGCGACGCTTGGGCCCCGCTGCTGTGCTGTGCGACCTGCCACCTTTGGGCTCCGCGACCACCTCTTGGGCTTGCTCTGCTACCATCTCTTGGGATGACAACCAATGGTTGGGCTTGTGATGGTGATGACTGCGGTGGAGGAGGTAGCGATGATCGGTACGATGATTGGTACGATGAAAAGTACGATGATGTGGGGCTACTTCATGGACGAGCTCTACAACCTCTTTGTGGTGAAGCCTTGCTGGGCTTCAATGGTGCTGCAAGGGTGGAGGAGATCTATGGCTGCGATTGGGCCACTCTACTTCCTGGACATCAAGGACCAGCTGCTCTTCCTGGCCGTGGGCATCTGCCCTCTTGCATGCGGCCTGACTGGCCAACTTTGAATGAGGATCACAAGTCTGTGAGGTTGGAAAAATAGGTTGCCCAACGCTGTTCAGGATGTTCAAGATTTTTTGCGTTTTTCTCATCCTCATGCAGATTGTAGCTGTGTAGCTAGTGCGAATGGTAGTGAAAAAAGGGCTGCGCCCTGCAATGTGGAGCCTCAAGGGCTTTTGGAGCTGATTGGCGCCAAGGAGAGCTCCGACAGTTCTCAAATCAACAGCCTGACTGGCGATCAAATCTCCAGGCATCAATCGGGTCCGGTAGAATCAACCAGAAGAAGAGTTTGTTCAGGTGCCCAGCTGAAGATTCCATGTCGCAGTGTGAACACTAGCCTTGAAGGGTCAAAAATCTTCAGCTGGCGCTGAGAGCCAAGTAGCCGTAGCACCGGTGGAAGGCATGTCTGCCTACGGTGGTAGTCATAGTGGTAGTTTCGTAGCTGCCATGCTCTTCGCGCTGCCGACTTTGGTGACGGGACAGCCTGATGATGGTGGTCGCCGTGATCATGACGGAGACCTTGACGAGGCATTCCTGTTCTTCTTCGTGCTGCTGGTGGGCTACACTGCAGTGGTGATTTTGGGAGTGCTGGCATGCGTCTGGTGTGCCAACTCCGTGGAGTGAGACAAGTTGGAGGAAAGGGCGCTGGCAAAGGGCGCAACTACTCCAATCGAGAAATGGATGAATGGTATGGGAATGATGTGACCAACATCAACTACAGCGATGAGGAGGCGATGCCGACTCCGAGACTGAGGAGAAGGAGGACCACGGGAAACTCTTCACAGGGTTCTGGAGATGGCCGAACCGCATCACCGGCTTTCTCTGAAGCTGATGGGCCGCCAATTCAAGATCCGGAGAGAGAGCCTTTCAACTTGTGGCGCTCTCCCTACGAGTTCGAGGAGGACGACATGCCTGCCATCCCCGAGATATGTGGCTACGCCAAGCTCTCCTGACCACTGGGTGCCGATGAGCACGCGCATCCAAGAGCGACGTGATCGAGCAGAAGATGCACTACATGGCGGAAAAAAGAGAAGGGAAAAGGAAAAGAAAAAGGAAAGGATGTGGGAGGAAGAAGCATCTTCCGGCGTGGCCAAGGGGCGAGACTCCGCCCGGCTACGCCATCTCCTTCGGCCTGCCCGGCCGAGGAGAGTCAAGAAGAGACATCAGTGGCCTCTACGCCGGGGACTGCTGACGTCATGGCTGACGAGTTCAAGGAGGAAGAGATGGATCCTGGAGTGCCATGGAACCACGGCGCAAAAGCACCACCAATGGCTTTGCAGCCGCGATGGTATGGGCCTCCACCTGGTCCACCACAAGGACCTTCACCTCAAGGACTACAACAAGGTCCACTTGGTCCACAACATGGTCCACAAGGCCTACAACAAGGGCTACAACATGGACACCAAGGAGAAGGACTTCAAGATGCTGGCGGCGCGCCACCAAAAGCCGTTACACAAGCCGTTCAGGCTCCTGCAGATAATGAGCCTCAAGGGGGCGACCTGGCTGAGCCAGCAGGCGAAGGGTGAGTCTGACGAGGTACCCCGGCCGACCATCTTTACAGCCGCTTTTGGCACGGTCTATCATGTGAGGCCGAGCTGCGGGAAACTTCGATGTGCCTCGCGCATCTTCAGGCATGAGGCGTTCACGCCTTGCCCATGCGGGTCTTTGCAGCGTGGTGGGATGGTCTACATCCTGGACAACAAGTACCACACTGTGAGCCACAGTGGCTTCCCAATGCCACGGAGGGCCTGTGCTGAGTGCGCCGGCTGAGTTTTAGGATTGGCCAAACTGGCCAAGGGGGAGTGCGATTGGCACTGCAACATGCAAACAGCATGGACCCCTGCAGATGGATGACACGCACAACATCGTGCGCTGCGACTTTATCATGGCTCAAGAAATAGGAGCTGCCGTCATTGGGCTGGTGTGTGGGAACTCAAAGGGTTGCTCGACCACTGGACCCATAACCGGGGCCCCGGTTCGTAACCGTAGAAACAAATTGGAACCAAGACTTCATGACGTATTTTGCTTGTGAGATCCGTTCACGATTATAATTCCAAGTGCTGAAGTGCATGAGGGTCAAATTCGCGGTCGAACTCACAAGTTTCGAAGCAAGTAGGTTAACCTCCTGCCCAGACCAAGTTGGGACAGGTAGATACTTCGGGCAACATTTTCGTTGGTGGGTACACTTCCAGCACTGACCTCGACGGCCAAAGCAACGCCGGCAGCAATGACGTCATGGTGATGAATTTTTTGTCAGATGGCGCCCACCAATGGACTGTCCTCCATGGCGGTTCAAGCAGTGACGTGTGTCTCTATGATTGCCTTGAGGCTGAGAGGGACAGGTTTGTTGTGGGCAGCCGCAGGAACTACTGTGCGGCATCATAGAGTGGCACGTTTTGCAGAGGCATAATGACGTACTGTTTGTACACCTGGTTTTGGCCTGTGATGTCTTTTTGGTTGTGTTTTTCTCGAAAAAATGATTTAAAAAACACATGTATACAGCAAGATGTTAAGAAAGGAACACAAGTTACAGGGTGAGCGAAAATGCTTATCGCGGAAGGACCGTGCCCAAGGATTTTAAACATAAAGCAACCAGGAAAACATATCAGCAAACCTTGAAGAAGATTCATGCAAATCCCAGCAGGAAACCGCAGACCCAAACTTCGCGATGAGTTCTGATTTGCTGGCAGCTGCTTCCGCCGAAGCTTATCATGAGCCTCAACTCCCAAGTTTCCAATTTCCACATGTGTTTTCTCATTTTCTGTTGATCTGAGATTAAATGAACATGATGTCAGAACATGGCAATGTTCAAGGTACTGTACCATTTGTACCATTTGTTGTTGTTTCCGGTTGTTAAATTGCATAACAGTTTTTACATGTTTTTACCGTGAGACACATTTTGGAACCAAGACTTAGACTTCATGACGTATTTTGCTTGTGAGATCCGTTCACGATTACAAGTCCAAGTGCTGAAGTGTATGAGGGTCAAATTCGCGGTCGAACTCACAAGTTTCGAAGCAAGTAGGTTAACCTCCTGCCCAGACCAAGTTGGGACAGGTAGATACTTCGGGCAACATTTTCGTTGGTGGGTACACTTCCAGCACTGACCTCGACGGCCAAAGCAACGCCGGCGGCGACGACGTCATGGTGATGAAATTCCAGGCGTGGTAGAAGTGTAATAGCACAAATCACAAAGGTCAGAAACCCGCAAAAACCTATATACAAGATACGATTAAACTATATACGATTATGTAAGCCTTTGAAAGCGACCTGATGTTTGACACTGAAAGCAGTCCAGGGCCCTACAACGACCACGACCCAGACGACTGTGACTTTGACCACCACCACCAGTCACTTGTCCTATAGTTTGACCAACCATGGCCACCCACCATGACAAAGCGTGCATTCGTATGAGCGGATTTTTGAATTTCTAAGGAAAATCATTCCAAGAGCTCTTTACCAACTTCAGGGGCGGGTCCATCCCTCCCGCGTGGAAAAACCTTACTGTGTTGTTTAAAATTGAAGTCCTCCACTTCACTCTTTAACTATTGCTCAATCTCTTTGTCTTCATGCATCTACAATGTGTATGCATACATTTTGTTGAAAGAACAACTCCATCCCTTTGATTATGTGGAACCCTACCTCTGCCCCACCCAAATTCGGTTTCAGACAGTTGGGAGATCCACTTGCCAGCCTCAGCCTTTACACATAATCCGCCAATGAATCCAAGTGCATGAACGTCAAAAGGTTCCTTTGCGCTGTGTTTTCATGGATTGGGGTAAAGCCTTTGATTCCCTCACTCACAAAGCTATTTCTCATTCCTTGGCATGCCACTCAGCCCCAGAAGCGTTCATTAATACGGTCTTGTCTTTGTATCAGGATCCAACTCCCCAAGGCAGGGAGCAGGACTCAGACAAGGCTGCCCCACAGCTTGCGAATTGCACCAGCTCGGTCTAGAATGCCCGCACGATGCAAGAATGAAGGAATGTGCCTGTCAACGTGGCGGGGAAGGAGTCCCCCGTGAATCAAGTACGGAGGCAGCATATTTAGGCATGCAGCTGACGAGACCACAGATGGTTCCCCAGATCACTTTGTTTTGTTTTGTCACGTTTGCGCAAAAGGCCAATGCTGCTACCAAGGCTTTCCAGTGCTTCTTTCCTCTCACCGCTATTGTAGGGCTTCGCACTGGCAAGGCCCCAAGGGTTGCTGTTGTTGCCCAGAATGTCGCCCGCTTGCTCTGCTGCTGCTGCTGCTGCTGGTTGTGGTTGTGGTTGTGGTTGTGGTTGTGGTTGTGGTTGTGGTTGTGGTTGTGGTTGTGGTTGTGGTTGTGGTTGTGGTTGTGGTTGTGGTTGTGGTGGTTGTGGTTGTGGTTGTGGTTGTGGTTGTGGTTGTGGTGGTGGTGGTTGTTGTTGTTGTTGTTGCTGTTGCTGTTGCTGTTGCTGTTGTTGTTGTGGTGGTGGTTGTTGTTGGTTGTTGTTGGTTGTTGTTGGTTGTTGTTGGTTGTTGTTGGTTGTTGTTGCTGTTGCCCTGCAGTTTTTTTCCTCAGTCTTGTAGTTGCCGAAACTTGTCAACTAGGCGGTGTTTTTCACGTTTTTCCCCAACAGCATAAGCTAATGGGGTCTTCAGCCCAGAATAGCTCCGGTGTGCACTGGTGCAGGCGCCGGGTCAGGTTCAACAAGGTTCCGGAGAGAAGGTCTGGGAGGCTTGGGTGCAAGGTTCCGGAGAAGGTCTGGGAGAGTTTGATGCAGAGACAGGTCAGGTTCAACAGAGGTCTGGGAGGCTTTGGTGCAGAGCCACGTCAGGTTCAACAGGGTTCCAGAGAAGGTTGTTCCGGAGAAGGTCTGGGAGGCTTTGGTGCAGAGCCACGTCAGGTTCATCAGGGTTCCAGGGAAGGTTCCGGAGAAGGTCTGGGAGGCTTGGGTGCAGAGCCACGTCAGGTTCAACAGGGTTCCGGAGAAGGTCTGGGAGGCTTTGGCGCAGAGCCAGGTCAGGTTCAACAGAGTTCCAGAGAACGTTCTGGACAAGGTTGCGGAGAAGGTCTGGGAGGCTTGGCTTTGGTGCAGAGCCGGGCTAGGTTCAACGAGGTTCCGGAGAAGGTTCCGGAGAAGGTTCTGGTGGAGAGCCGGGCCGGTTCAACGAGGTTCCGGAGAAGGTTCTGGAGAAGGTTCCGGAAGGGTTTTGGTGCGGCCAGGTTCAACGAGGCTTCAAGTAGGTTCCGGTGCGATTCCGGGAGTTTGTCGGTGCAGCTTTTAGGTCGAGTTCCAGCAAATTTTGGACCAAAAAATTGTGAAAATAAATTACTGCTGCTGGTGGGGATACCACCGAAGCTGATTTTTTGAGACTTTCGGAGCAAAAAAACACCGCAAATACCGATGTTCTTGGCGCCCCTGAAGCCCAAAGCATCGCCGCATTTTCTTGAATCAGTGGTTCCTGTGCCGCCGCACACCACCGAGACAGACCTTTAAATGCCCATTTTTCCATAGGGCATAGGGTCTTGCAACCTTCTAATTCCCCGTGCTCAAGCAACCATCTCCACATCCCAGCTAGCTCCCATGGAATAGATATTTATGCATCATTTCAACTAGCTGCCACCAGGCGACTTCAACTCCTTGGGCATTTGTTGCGACATGAAAGCTGCCCTGAACACTTGGTATCCTTTATGCCGTGCATATCGCTTTCGCCCGTCTCTAACAGCAACAGAAGTATATTCCACCAGCTCTAAACAGGACTTTTTGGCCAAACGCTGCGGGACAATACCCCAACCCCGTTCCGCTGAGCGCCAAGACCATTACAAAATGGATGACGCTACACCATTGAGTTCCAACCGCGCAATGCATTCCCGGATCTCTTCATACTCCTTTCTCATCGGGGATTGTACATGCATCCGCGAAAGTATTACCCTCCACATCGCTTTTAAAAATCACGCTACTCACCTGGATATTTTTCCTACAACTAACCCCCTGGTTAGAACCTGGAAATGGTATTTCGGTCGAGGCTGTGACAGGGAGACGGACTTCCCCTTTCGTTTACAAAAATGTTGTCGATGTCAAAACCGATCGTCCTTTTCCCACCATAATTGTGTGGGGCTTTGGTTTTCCCATTCTGCGCCCGGCCGCGTCCTTCTCCCTCCTCCTCCTCCTCCTCCTCCTCCTCCTCCTCCACCCCTTTTGCTCTGTCACATACAACACCATCACACGCACACAGAACATTGTCACATACAACTTTGTCACACGCACGCACAGCTTTGTCACACAACAACAGCAGCAGCAGCAACAACAACAACAACAACGACGATGCCACATACAATTTTGTCACACACAAACGCAGCATTGTCACACTCGACATTGCCAGATACAACTTTATCACACACGCACACACACACACATGCGCGCGCAACTTTGTCACATACAACCATTGTCACACACACACAACATTGCCACACACACACACACACGCAATTTCGTCACACACACACACACAGAGTAATTTAACACATACACACATCTTTGCCACACAGCTAACTCACATACAACTTGTCACACGCACACACTTGCTCAGAACAATCGTTCTTCCTCTATTGACAGTGGAAATTCAGATTGCGAAAACCGTGCAAACGAGAAAAAAAGGAAAACAAATTGTTTGAAAACGGCATGATGGTTCTTGGGTTAGCCACATCCCATGACCAGAAAGCAAAACTTCGCAGGTACGTCGGGATGATCAGTCCCGATATCCTCCCAACTCATGAGTAACTTCGTTGGCAGTGAACTCATGAGTGGGCCACTGCCCCCTGCTAAAATGGAAAAACTCGTTTCAGCTGAATTGAATAAATGCAGGTTCACAAAAGTACAAGTTAGAAGTTTTACATCTCTTCAGATGTTTCACACACACGCCCCGCTGCCGCGAGGCCATTTTGTGCAACAAATGCACGAGGTGTCGAGCTGCTCTTATACGTTCCGATGTTTCAATGAAATCAAAATGCAGGGAAAGAAATGCAAGTGAATTGGCCGGAATGCTCAGTACAGGTTCAGGGTGTCACCATTTTCGACTGGGAAGTTGCTTCTGGCATCACGCACGGGCTTGCAATACATGCCAGAGCTAGTCGTCAATCTCAGAAAGGTCTTCCATCTCTAGGTTCTGGGCATGTGGGGCAAGAGTCTGTGATGTGGTTGCCAAGTGGCTGGCAAGGTGGGCCAAATCTCCCGCCGTGAACACCTGAATTGGACTGGCACTCAAATCGTCCTGGGGATTCTCAAGCTTCTCAAGGATCACTGCATTGGAGTCCCTGTCGCTAAGGAGAATGTTGTAGAGGACGGTGGCCAGTTGGTGGATCTGACTTGGAACCGGTAATGTGCCAAGGTTGGCAGTGATAGATGCATCGTCTTCCATCTCAGATTCAGGTGGTACTTCTTGAACTTCAGATGTTTGGTCAGCATTGTCAGACGGTTGCTGGTAGTTGTGCCACGATGAGTTCCCCAAAGTGTGTTCAGCATGTACTTCGGGAATATTGTAAAATCGACGCCAGTAATTGGCTAGTCGGGTGGCTTGATCCCAGCTGTCTGTTGATGTGACCACCATTGTAAGATCTCATGACCAACAATTCCATTGAAGAAAAATTCCGGTTGGCGGTTCCGTTCTTCTCCCCAGCGGTCAACTTCCGTCACCATGAGGCGGTTAGGACGACCCGACTGGGGTGGTGCCACGACCTCCTTGAAAATGTGAGAGTGAAGCGCACGATGCTGTTGTATTGTAGCGGATAAGCTTCCCCTTGGGGATATGATGGAGATCCAAGTGGCAAAGGGACAGGAGGGATCTCTGATGTGTATCCAAATTGGGGAGTACTTGACGGCGTACCACTCGCGGGTTGGATCCATGAGGATGAGTCAGGTCTTGGGGCCAGGATCCAATTGCAGTGGCCGATGATGAAGCATCCTCTGAAGAAGCAGCGCCGCTTCTGGGATGGAGTTGCACGGCAAATTGTCGGCGTTCCATGTTCGTGTGAACGCGAGGGGAGTCAATGCCGGCACAAACGGAGTCCCTTTTTGTCATGATCACGACTTAAGCCAAGAGTAAAGGATACCATGAAACGAGGATACAGCAGAGCAGGAGAGGAAACAAAAAGAAAGTACAAATGCGAAAAACTAGAGTGGACAAAATGAGTACAAGAGGACGGTCTTTTTATCTGCACTGAGTCACGGAGGCATGTTCGGGTTCGAGAGTGCCTCATGGCAACTCAAGCGCATCATATATGGTTGTTTAGGATTATCAAAAGCACGAATTTCATTAGGCAGCAAGATGCCAAATTCTTGGCCTTCAGTCCAATGAGGACGGTGTTCACGTAGAAGGTCACTCAGGATCTGTCCATTGCGAAGGACGAAGGTGTCGCCGGTGCTATCT